TTAGTACATTAACATGGGTCTTTATTGGAACTCATCACAGCCATTTTGAAAGTCTGTTACTCATATTATATAGATAAAGGGAGTTAAACACAGAAGACTATCCAGGAACAAGTAACAAAATCAAAAGTCTGTTTCTCTTTGTTTTTTTTTAGTCTTGAAAAGGAAGCTTGAAATTTTCTAGGTCTTTCTTATAAAACATCTTCCTAAAGTTAATAATAATGCATTAAGCCACTTATTTTTAATGATATTCTGCTTTCTCAGAGGAACTCCGGACAGTTTTGCATATTCTCTGTTGATCTGATTTCTTCTTACTAGAAAATAGAGTAGGTAAGTAGGTCAGCACAGCGCTAAAAGCACAATGTAAGCACTCTCACCAGCCTCCCAGTATCGCTGGGTTTTCATCTTGGCCCTAAGACTCCTACCGACAATGTCCCCTGGCTCTGTGCTCTCCGACCTGTGGTCTCATTCCCTTTGGCACCTGTCCTAGAGGAGTCTTAGAGTAGGTTCTCTGCCAAGGGCAAAAGAAGAATTGGTATTCAGGATCTTGTTGAAGTTTTTAGGCAAGGTGCCCACAGATGTATCTGTCTGTGTCCAGGATCTGCAAGAGTTCACAGAGTCCATGTGAAACACTACCTCGGGGTTTCTCCAAAGAAGTCTAGTTCTCATGGAACAGGAACGAAAGACAATTGGCTTTTAGGTCTTACCACATCCATATTTTATAGTCATGATTCCTTATGGTGTTACATTGGAAAAGGCACATTACCCCCGTGGCTCTCATTTGCTTCATCTATAAAATGAAGATGGTTCCAGCTGAAGCTATTGTGATGTTGTGTGTCAAATACTTGGCAAAGGTTTCTGGCAAAGGGTAGGCCCTCTGTAAATATTAATTGGTTTTGAATCTAAATTTCTGTACTTAAAAAAAAAGGCATTACACTGGGTTACAAGGAAGGTGGGGAGCGAGGAAAATGAAGTTAGTCCTAATTTTCTAAGTCCATCAAATTCTTTTTTTGACAAAGATTTTAGTAGATGGTTTTGCTGAGATTGGGTTATAGGTAGCTGTAATTCTCTATGAAGAATACCATGCCTGTCTATGACCTCTGTCAGGGAATCCCCAAAAGCTTAACTTAAAACATAATTAGCACGTAATCTTTGGCTTACTGAGAAGTATCTATACCTACAAACCCATGAGAACAGAAGTCACCACATTGCCAAGAGAAATGAACTTCAGCCAAAACAAAAGATTCAGAGTCCAAAGGAAAAGTTTAGGTGTATTAAAATTAACAAAATTGTTAGATACATCAAGATGCAGTAATAATAGGAGAGTCACTGTGATATGAACATCTATCACAAATAAAAATTTTTGATTGGGAATTCTTGGTGGTGGTTTTAATTTATACTATATATTACTGAATTTCCTTACAGGCAGAATTGTTGTACATTTCACAGTGGATATAAACAGTCGTTTGCAAAATGGCAGACAAGAAAGGATGTAAATAAGGGTGGGTGACAGCTACTCATCAAAGTGACTCTGTGGGAATAGAGATGAAGGGATCTTATGTGATGACTGAAAAGACATGGGGTTCAAAGCAGACTTAAAGGTTCATAATTTAGGTGCCTTGCAGCATATTTTCCAGATAGAAGAACCAAGTGTGTAAATTTTTTCCAGCACTGCTTTTTTTTATTTGGGAGTGTGATTCTGGAGACCCAGTAGGCCGTGCTCTGGAATTTGTCTTCCCTTGATTTGTTAGGAGCTGTATGCACTCACTCAAGCCAGACTGTACAGAATATTTGGCCACATGGTGGATTAAACATACTTTGCACTTTGGAGCCCAGGAGGCATAGATTTGGATTATAACTGTAGTTTATAATCTGGTAACCTTAGGAACAGAACTTATTTCTCACATGTTGGCATTTGAAAAACACTAGTTTCTCAGAGGACTGTCTTGAGGATTAAAAATGTAAAACTGCCAGATGTAGTGTTTCATCCATGTAATCCTAGCTCTTTCTAGGCAGAGGCAAGTAGATCTCTGAGTTCAAGGCCAGGCTGTTCTATATAGCCAGTTCAGACGAGCAGGCAGGTCTACATAGTGAGACTCTGTCTGCAAAACAAACAACCCCAAAACTAATAAACAAAAAATATAAAGTGCACACATAGTATTGGTGTACATAAGTATTGGTATATGTAAAGATGCTATTATCACTAAGGATATTGTGTTTGGATTTATACAAAAAGAAGTTTTAATTGGAAAATAGATTTTTAGTGGCAGTTCATTCCAATTATGAAAAGAAGATGTACACAGTGAGAATAGACATTTATAGAATAATTATTCTGAGTCATGTGAATCAATGGGGCAGAATCTCTTCTTGCCACTTTATAGATGGAGAATTAAGCTCAAAGTAGCACAGTTAGAAAGTGATAATCTCAGGATACAGAGGCCACACATTTTGCCACTGCTCTGCATGCCCTTTGAATGAAAGGAGGTCTCTAGGTGTCTAGGAAGAATAGCTGACTGGGAGAGATTCTACATAAGCAATTTCTACTATCTGAAGACCAAAGGCAGAAGCCTTCATCCTTCTCTACAGCTTTCCTCTTGTTTTGACTCAGGGAGTTTCTGTTATTTGGGAAAGCATAAACGTAATGTTCATTTGAGATATGAACATTAACAAGTGCTTACTCCAGAACTCTAAGTTTAGATATTCGACAAGTTTACTGTGGCCTAACTCTTGCACTATATTAATCATAGTCCAACTTCTGCTTTCTGTTAGCTTAGACCTGTGGCAATACCTTCCTCTTTGCATCTAGCTGGTTGTCAACAGCGCTAACCACAAGTCCTTCCTGTGCCAAAGTGAGTCTTGCCACACTCTCTTTCAAAGTGCTATAAAACTGTATACTGCAAAGAATTGTACCACCTCCACCCTGTGCATTCACAGCCCCACAGGTTAAACTGTTGATTGACTTTTCAGTGACGGGAAATAAGTAGAGGTGCATGAGAACACGACAAAGACTCTAGCTCTAATAGAAACAAGCATTGCATTATACCTGAATTGTTGAGAAAAGATCTTGTACTCAATATTTTATTCAGTAGAACATGTTTGCAACAATAAGATTAATTAAAGAATGTACTGAAAATGCTTCAGGTTAGACACTCTGTTTGTTTACTTCAAAGATAAAAAAAATAAAGTGGTAAAATAGGGAGGTGGAGGTAGTAGAAATTCCAACAAAATCTAGTGAAGAGTATCTGACATTATTTCTTCTCTGGATTAAATCTGAATTGAAGTTTCTCCATTCTAAAAGCCTTTGCCTTTTAGGTGTGTGTGTATGGGGGCGGGGGTATCAAACTTTTCACTGTGTATGTTAGTTTGTTCTCAAATTCAGAATCCTCCTGCCTTTGCTCCCAATTGTTCCCATTCCATAGAAGCATGCTTTTTTTTTATTTGTTTGTTTTTTTTAAGAGATTGGGTCTAGTGAGCCTAGACCTGTAGCAGCTTTACAGTGTTCTTTTTGTTTGTATGTTTCTTGCAACAAAATAAGAAATTCTTGTTAATATTAGTACTTTTTGATATTTCTCTGAGGCTACAGTGAGTCTACACCTGCCATTTACAGTTTAGTGTCATCTCCTTTCTGACCTCCTTATGTAGTGGAGTGCTCACCTGCAAAGCTGTAGGTCACCAGCAGGCTTTGCACTTGTTCAGGTGCTTTATATTTTCACAGACTGAGGAATTAGATCAAAAGTACTCTGCTACAAATGGGGCCATTCAGACGTGTGTAGTCTTTGTAAGATAGGAGCTGGGATATATGGTGTGCTGGGTGGGGATTATGAAGAAGAGGGTGTTTGGTTTACTTTATTATTCTAGTTCAAAGAGGTTGGTTGTCCATGGTAAAAAAGGAATGGCTTCTTCACCATATCAGGTTTGAAACAAGTACTCTGTCCCAAATGTGAGTCTGGGAAGTGATAGGAAAAAAGACATAAAAGCTTATGCTTTAATTCTTTGTATCCACCCCAAATATTTACTGAAGCTAGAAGAAAAGGCTTTTTTTTTTCTTTCCCAAACGTGTGATTGTTTAGAACTTAAGTGCAACATCTGGAAGTCAGATATACAGAGAGCAATTTATGGAGTGTGAAAGATTTAAAATATTCAGTGTCCTTTAGTGGGAACTCAACTTTCTGTACTGTGTTTTTTTTTTTTCTTCCCAACACAAAGCAACTAATTCTGAGATCACTTTTGCCTCTCTGAATTAAGCCCTTTGTGCTGGGTCCCATAAACAATGTGCTTTTTAAAAGGGACCTCCCCCCCCCAAGCTCTGGCCCTTTCCTCCAATGCAGGCAGCCAATCAGCTGCACTGAGCTGCATAGCTGGAGCACTTTCCTTTCTGAGCAGCAACAACGTACTAATTTGATGCACACATGGATGCCTCTCGCACTCTGCAAATTCATCACCAGCATCTTGCATTAGTCATCTGATGGACTGCCAAGTGTTTCATTTTCTTTCCATGTGACTTTATTATTACCACCTCTCTCCTCTCTTCCAAAACCTCTGAAAAAGGGCGGGGAAGGGAGAGGGGGTGAGAAATCCAGCAGCAACCCAGCTCTGCCTTTCTTTCCCAGCGATAACCAGTGCAGAGCTGATAATGCTGCCGATTTGTGAGGTGCTGATGGCAGCCTTGCCAATTGAGACCTGCACTTAACTTGCAGCTGCCTCCCAAGCCTGGATTCTGAGATGTCTGTGCCCTGGGTGACAGGCGGCCAGGCACTGCCCTGTGCTTGGGAGTCAGTGCTGAACAGCAGCAGCATGCAGTGAAAGCATCGCGCTGCTGCTGAGAAGCAACCTAATGGTGCCTCTGCTTTGTTTTAGTTCATCAAATTTCTACGAGTCATTAGGCACTTTCCCCTGTGCTCTTCTTCCTCTTTCCGCCTCCTCAACCCCAACCCCCACTATTTTTTTCTTCCTGTCCTTCACCCTGAAGCCCTAACTCTGGCTCCTGGTTCCGTTTTTGACAGTAACGGCACAGCCAACAAGATGAACGGAGCTTTGGATCATTCAGACCAACCAGACCCAGATGCCATTAAGATGTTTGTCGGACAGATCCCTAGATCCTGGTCAGAAAAGGAGCTGAAAGAACTTTTTGAGCCTTATGGAGCTGTCTACCAGATCAACGTCCTCCGGGACCGGAGTCAGAACCCTCCCCAGAGTAAAGGTACAGAATGCATGTGGCACAGGGGGTAGGGGTCACTCAGGTGTCAGGGTGGGCTTAGTGGCTGGTGCGGGCCTCCCTGGGCTGACCAGAGCTCCCAGAGCCTTTCCTCCACCGGAGAGAGGGCGACAAAGAGGAAAGGGAAGCAGTCTGAGAGCAGCTGGTGCTGGCAGCCCTGGTGTTCTGGCTGTGCCTCAGGGCTCCTCCCAGAACTCCCGCCTGCTCTGGGACAGGTGGGACTCAAGAAGGAGGGCAGGAATGCTGCCCAGCTTTTTATGGTCCCCTGACTGCTCCTATGAGGTCACTTTCTAAGCAGTGTGGCCTCTGGGTAGGGTTGCTGACCCTGTAAGGAACAATGTTTCTCAGCCTTGTGTTTCAGGCTAACTCTGTCTATGTTACCTTCCCATGATTACTCGTGGAATTACAAATAAATCACACTTTTCCATGGCCTGTGGAGACGTTGAAATGGCTTGCAAACTGTTAGTGTGATGCCACTGGTGGGATAAAGAAAGGGTTCACTTTGAGTATGGACATTTCTCCTCGGGGGCCAGTAGTGATCATTAGGAGAACTGTGCCTGCTGTAGCCAGGGTAATGCCCTAAGGGCTGAGATTCTTACACACCTTCAGAAATACTTAAGGCTTACACCCTTATCAGAGGTAAGATTAACCAGAAAAGTCTGGTGCTTATCACTGCCTCCATTTTAAGATAATGGTGATGGGGTGGAAGTTACATTAAAACAGAGGCCAAGAATTGTACTAGGTTGATGCTTTGTGTTTTTGAGTCCTGTGTTGTAAGCTCTGTAAACTACATTTAAAATACCTCCTGTGCTGCTACCGCTGGGTTTCTGTCTCGATTTTAACCTTCTTCTTTAGTGATGTTGTTCTCTTTCAGTCTCTCCTCTCAGGGCCTCTCTGTCTTCTTTGGATATCACACTTCCTTTTCCTCTGTGCTTTGCTATTTCTTTCTAGCCTGTTTCATTTTTATGTGCGTCTTGTAAGAGGGAGCTCATTGCCTGACTAGTGTGTGCTCTTTAGTTAGCGCATGAACCTTGCCTCACACTTTTCTCTGAGCCTTTTGAAAATAAAGGAGTAAGAAAATTTTAAGACCAATATTCTGTAATTCTGTGAAGTGTTGGGTCATCTCCTGTTCTCTATAGTGCTGAGCTCTGTTGAGCTTTGGGGAGCTTTTAAAAGGACTTTAAAAGCCCATAGCCAATACTCACTTAATAAAGATCAACATATTTGCCTTTAGATTTTTGTTAATAAACTAGGTTTTTTTAGACATTCCATGTAACACTACATCTGTTAAAGAGACTAGACTTTTTTGTCTACAAATTTGATTGCCTATAATTAGAAAAGTGGAAACTCAGATCTAAGATCAGTAAGATATAAAATCCTTAGAAATCAGGATTATATTAGAAACCTTTGTGAATATGTAGATATTTTCCGCACAAAGAAACTAGACGTTCATTTTAATACTTTAATAGTATCCTACTTAGGAGAGACAGTATATGCATGATTCTCAACTAAGTTGTTTTCAAGTGAGAATCCACCCCATCACCTAAGTAGTACCCAGAGAAAACTTAGCTGTACCAGCATGCCCATTTCTTCCTCTGCTGGGAAAACAGAGTACTGAAGTTGGGTTTATTTGTGTTTTTCAAAATGGCCTCTGACAAAATAATCAGAACTCAATTGTATTATGATACCTGATTGATTATTCCATATCTTTTGAATGTGTGTTCCTTACATTGGCCCCAAAAACCTTTTTTCTCAGTCAAATATATTCTGTGTATGACTCTGTCTTTTCTATACATGTTCCTTTGAGAAATATCTTATCCATTCCAAGTTCATACTATATATTTTGTTAACTTCTGTTTATTAGGTTTTCTAAGTAATTTCATGACAATAGTTTACAGAAGCCCAAGCTCTTAAAGAAAGGCAGTGAATCCAAGTAAGGAAACTTTGGAGGGTATATGTAGTATTTCAGGTCCTCTAGTGAGAGATTTATATATGTCTTCCTTTAGCTTTTACCAAAATCTTGAAGGTATATAATATCAGTCACAGTTTACAGATGAGGATACTGAGACTCACCAAAGTGAAGAAATGTAGCCCATCTAGAAGTATATATCTGACCACTACTCATTAGTCTTCAGACACTTCACTATTTTGTCTCTCAGTTTTTGAGATGAGATCAAAAACAGCACCATCTGCTCCATTTCATGGCTTCATTTTCATGGATAAGTATTCCCCACGTGAAAGGAAGAAATTCTTCCTTTAAGAGCACTGATGGTTTTATTTCTACCTTTGTGTTTTTCTACTCGTGGGTTTGGGTCGTATATCACTCAGACTCATGGTATCATGGGATAGGAGTTAGAGATGAAATCATTCAAATCTTACGTTTGGAAATACAGGTCAATTCCCATTACTGTGAACTCCAAGTCTCACATCCAATATTGCTTGAAATATGTGGGCTGTCAGCCAAAGCTTGAAAGGGTTTTTGTTATACAGACATCTCTGTTGTAAAGGTATTTGTTGTGATGGGATTTGGGCTATATAATGACATTGCTCTCAGAGGATTACAGTTCTTAGCTGCTTATATGTAGAAAGCAACAGCCACCATTTTCTTCACATCAATATCTAGGCATTCCATATGTAATTTTACCAGTTATATGTAAAACTGAACCTCAAGTTTACATTGATTTTGACTCTGTCAACAAGGTACAGTTACCATATTTTCACAGCACTGGTGTCAGAGCCTCAGAAACTAGAAATACTGGAGACTTTTGTCTAAGTGTGTTTTAAATTATGTAAGCAGGGCTTTTGGATGGCCTTGATTCATTGCCTCATTGGCCTTGATGGTTCCATGAAAAGAGACAAAAGTTATTCTTTTACTTAATCCAGGTGAATTAGATCTTTCTTTTTCTTTGCATTTTATGTTATGTTTAATCATGAGGTATACAAGCTTCACCGTGTTTTCATTCTTTAAGAGTGGAAGTCTAAGCTGTCTGTTTCTTTATACAGACTATTACTCAAGCAGTTTCAGAAGCTAGAGATCTAAGTAAACTATTCTGTTAGGACTTATGGGTAACTTTTTCAAATCTTTCTGTGTTTCATGTGTACATGTATGTGTGTGCATGCGTGTGAACACGCTCGTGGAGATCAGAGGATGATCTCAGGTGTCAGGCTATACCTTCCACTTTGATTTCTTTATTGTTTGTTTCTGTGTATGCCAGCCAAACTAGTAGGCCTGTAAGCTTACACAGAGGCTGTCTTTTCCTCTATTCTCCATATAGGAGTGCTACAATTACAAATATATGCTACCACACTTGGCTTTACATGGATCTGCAGAGCTGAGCTCATATTCTCACATTTGCAGAGCAACTGTCTTACTCACTGAGCCATCCTCCCAGCCCAGGAAGAACATGCTTTATTCAGTGATTATCTGCCAGTTCTGCAGACGATGAGAAATACTACTTAGTGAGTAAAAATATGGCCTTTAAAATCAGACATGCCTAAATCCAATTCTTGGCTCTGGTTCTCCTTAAGTATTTGAGACTTGAGCTCTTCACTTAATTGTATCAAAAAGGGGTCGGGGGACACAGTTGTAAAATGCTGTGTTAGTAATGTTCCATGCTGGAATACAATAGGAACTTGTAATAACAGATTATTATAGTTGTTATCTTCATCATGACTATCTTTTAAGAACTTAAAATCTAAGAACATTAAAGTAAATTTATAGATCACTACAATAAAAGACTATTAAAAATAGTAACTACAAAAGAAGACATGCATATTGAACTCAGAGAAGTTCACAGAAGAAATAAATTTTATTTTATTGAATATAGGAAAAGATAGCATCTCCACAAAATTTTAAAACCAGTAACGGACTTTTAGTATATAGAGATGATGTTAAACATTACAAGCGAATGGACTAGCTTAGCCTAATTCATACAGAGAGAGAGAATGAGAGCATCGTCTGAAAGCTGAAGTCTCACAAATGTGAAATGCAATGGAAGAAAGGAAAATTACAAAGCTAATAATTTATAGGATAGTTTTAGAGAGTCTTCATTCTTAGAATTAAAAAAATTAAAATTTCTCTGTTAGATAAAGGAGGGTCTGTAAAGGATGCTGAAGAAGAAACTGGTAAGAAACAAGCACAGTCTGTTATCTTGTACTCAGAAAAGGATGCTCCTTTTCCTGAGAATGTCTAGAAAAGGAGTGAGTGACTGAGGCATAAATGACAGTGTTGTAAAGAAGGAAAATTGGTAAGTAAATTAAAGCAACAATGATGAAGTTTTGGCTTATCTGGAAAAAATGGGGACGGAATCCGCAATGGTGGGAACAATGATAAGGAGAAAATTTTGGAAACAGGAAAAACAGGTTCAATTTTGAGGTGGCCCTGAAGGGTCAAAAAGAATGAGGGCCATGAAAACACGTTGAATGTTGTGGTTGTGAGGACCAGACAGCATTTCAGGAGCAAGATGACAGTCCAGGAGAGGGAGAAGAGTTGAAGGTGTATGTGAAATGGATTAAATAAAAATGCTGCAGGATCCTGAGTGTCTATAGCTGGCAGCTGGCCATGAGACCATGCTGCAGGTCTCTGAAGGCAACTGGTCCCAGGCAGGGAGACATGAGGTGGTTGGTGGGCAAGAGACAGAAACATGGATAGGCACGCCATGCAGAGTGAGGTTGGATATTTATTAAGTGGGTTATGGAAGGGAAGGGGGAGAAGGAGAGGTGGGGAGAGAGAGGGGGAGAAAGAAGAGGAAGATAGGGTGTGTGTGTGAGAGAGGGGGGGAAGGGGAGAAGTGGGGAGAGGCAGAAGCTGCCTCTTTGAGAGATGGAAGAGAGTCAGGCTGCAAGCAGGAAGATCTGCCTGCCTCAGCAGATGGGGGAGGGGGAGGGAGGAAGTGTGGCTTGTCTATAAGGCAGGAACGGAACCTCAGTCCTGTGTTGCTGATCACATTTTGCTGTCACTTCTTTGATAACTTCTAAGCCAAAAG